AATATATAGTTGCCTATGGGCGCGAGTGGCTCAATGCCTGTAACCCACGCACTTCATGGGAGGAGCCGAGACAAGGGGAATCACGAGTCCAGGAGATCGAGACCATCCTGGATGAACAACAGTGACCCCGTCTCTACTAAACCACAAAACTAGCCGGACGAAGGGCTGAGCTGTAGTACCGACAACTCGGGACGAGCAGGGAAAGGCGAACCACGAGGAGGGCGAGCTTGCAGTAGCTAGATCCGCCACTGGCACCCCACCGGCGAAAGAGCGAGACTCCGTCCGACCGTTTATCACCATAACAAAAGCTTTAAGTTTGATGCAGTTGCATGTATCATTCATACATTTATGACTCAATTTTCCTGGTTTTGTATTGTGTTTTTCACAGGCAGGATCTCATATCTCATGCACCCAGTGAGGAGTTACCATGCTCAATCCATGCAAAACTGCACCCTGAATCCCTAGGTTCAGCCATCCCTCCCAACCTCAGTTCCTACCTAGCTGGGAAGAAAACAGCACTCCTACTGCTCAGCTAATTTTAACATTATTTTGAGGGTAGAATGGAGTTCCACTATGTTCTCCAGGCATGGAGCATCCAAACAATAACAAAACAAAAAATACAAACTGAATAATGGACGGGAAGCTCTTTAAATAAACTAATAGAATATCTAACATGTATCTCCCAAATAACTGATAAATACCTGGCATATTATTTTATAAGCTCATCCCTTTAAAGATTGTTTACAAATCATTGAAATCGGCTGTTCAAACAAATGTTCTTAAGGAACTGGATAGGCCTCTGGAAAAAATGAACAAGTAGGAGCCCCCAACGTACCACCCATTAGCACAAGATACATCCAAATGGAAAAGATCTAAATGTAAAATGACCATGGAAGTATTAGAAAAAACATGGGGATTCGTATAATCCTTAATGGGAGTCCTTCCAACATATATTCAAATTCTGAAAGCTAGGGGTGGCCAAATAAATAAATAAATAAAAAATAATATATAATATTTTACATAATTTATGGGGTACATGTGAGTGTTTTTTCCATGCACAGAATGGGTGATGATTAAGTCAGGGTAACTGGGGTATCTATCACCTTGGGATATATGTCATTTCTATGTGTTGGTATCATTTCACGTCCTCTCTTCTACTAATAGTTCCTTTGAAATATGCAAAATATTGTCACCCAAGTATAGTCACCTTATCATGCTATAAAACATTAGAACTTGCCGGGTGCAATGGTTCACACCTGTAATTTCTGCACTTTAGGAAGCTAAACTGGGAGGGCTGTTTGAGCCCAGGAGTTTGAGACAATCCTGGGCAACGTATGGAGACTTGTCTCCACAAAAAGGAAAAAAAAAAAAAAGACACATTAAAATGTATCTCTTCTATCTAACTGTGTGTTTGTACCCATTAGCCAACTTCTCTTCATCCACCCACCACCCTTCTCAGTTTCTGGTATATATCATTGTATTCTCTATGTCTATGGTATCAGTGTTCTTTAGCACTCTCATGTGAGCGAGAACATGTGGTATTTGTCTTCCTGTGCCTATCTAACTTAATATAGCAACCTCCATGTTGCTACAAATGACATGATTTCCTTCTTTTTTATGGTCAAATAGTATTTCATTGTGTATCTATGTCACATTTTTTCTTCCTTCCTTTTTTCCTTGCCTCCCTCCCTCCCTCTCTTCCTTTTCTTTGCCTTATTGCATTGACTATAACCTCCAATACAATATTAAGTGGAAATGGTGAAAGCAAACATTCTTGCCTTATTCTGAGTTGTAAGAAAAAAACAACTTTTCGGCCGGGCGTGGTGACTCACGCCTGTAATCCTAGCACTTTGGGAGGCCAAGACGGGCAGATCACGAGGTCAGATCAAGACCATCCTGGCTAACACGGTGAAACCCCGTCTCTACTAAAAATACAAAAATTAGCTGGGTGTGGTGGCGGGCGCCTGTAGTTCCAGCTACTCAGGAGGCTGAGGCAGGAGAATGGCGTGAACCTGGGAGGCGGAGCTTGCAGTGAGCCAAGATCGCGCCACTGCACTCCAGCTTGGGCGACAGAGCAAGACTCTGTCTCAAAAAACAAAAAAACAAAAGAAAAAAAAAAAGAAACACAATTTTTCACCATTAAATATGATGTTAGCTGTAAGTTTTTAATAAATGCCTTTAGTCTAGTTAGGGAAAGTTATTTTTGTTGCTAGTTTACTGAGCATTTTCATCACAAAAAGATGTTGAGTTTTGTCAAATGCTTTGCTGTAGATATTGAAATGAGTGCGTGGGTTTTCTTTCATAGTCTCTTGAAAATCAGGATACAACCAATTAAAATAAAGAAAGCAGGTTGGGCGCAGTGGCTCAAGCCTGTAATCCCAGCACTTTGGGAGGCCGAGGTGGGTGGATCACCTGAGGTCAGGAGTTCGAGACCAGCCTGGCCAACCTGGTGAAACCCCGTCTCTACTAAAAATACAAAAATTAGCTGGGTGGGTGTGGTGTGCGCCTGTAATCCCAGCTACTCGGGAGGCTGAGGCAGGAGAATCACTTGAAACCAGGAGGCAGAGGGTTGCAGTCGGCCGAGATTACGTCATTGCACTCTAGCCTGGGTGACAGAGAGAGGCTCTGCCTCAAAAAAAAAAAAAAAAAAAAATGCAAACGATACAATTATTTATCTATTGATTGGCAATAATTGCTAAAAAAACAAAAAATTCAGAACTGACAAGCATTTGCAGAAATAGGCACTTTCAACATACCACTGAGGGAAACATAAACTTTTCAGTTTCTGCAAGATAATTAAAACATATAGCAAACGTCTTAAAAAGACCCTTTGATACAGCAATTCCATTTCTAGTCATTCCAAAAGAGACAATCAAAGATACTGCAAAAGGTTTAATTGCAGGGATTTCACCAGGTAATATTTATAATAGTAAAAACTATAAGTAATTTCATCTGCTAATAATAGGAGATGGGTCAAATACATGTTTCTATCTATATTACAGAGTCATTAAAAATAATGACAGAGGCCAGGTGTGGTGGCTCATGCCTGTATATAAAATAATAATGACAGAGTATGGCTGCACAGTGGCTCACCTGTAGTCCCAGCACCTTAGGAGGCTGAGGCAGACACATCACCTGAGGTCAGGAGTTTGAGACCAGCCTGGCCAACATGGTAAAACTCTGTCTCTACTAAAAATACAAAAATTAGCTGGGCATGGTGGCATGTGCCTGTAATCCCAGCTACTCAGGAGGCTGCGGCAGGAGAATCACTTGAACTTGGGAGGCAGAGGTTATAGTGAGCCGAGATCACACCATTGCACTCCAGCCTGGGCAGCAGAGTAAGACTCTATCTCAAAATAATAATAATAGTAACAGAATAAAACTATAATCCCTGACATGCTTAAAACAGATTTAAAAAAATTAAATCACACAACAATGTATGATTTAATATAAAAAAAAAGTATGTAAAGATAACTCCATTAGTCGACTCCATTTTTGATGTTTGATTGTTGACAGCTTTCAAACCCTTCCTCTTCTGCCCCACATCTGGGCAAGCTGATAAGAAAGCCTGGGTGCTCCCTCCTTTGGTGCTGATGGGGAGTTCAATCAACACAAATGCCAGCCCCTGTGTAAGAGTACCCTCACCTAATCTCACCTTCTAACCACCATAAATCCCAAGACAGTCACCTCGCCTGCTATCTAAAGTCATTTTTGGATCCGTCTGGGAGCCTGCCCTGCTCTAAAATGGCTCAACATGTGAGTAATAAACCTTTTCATACCCTTTTAGTGTATCATCAGTCTTGACATCTTAACCAAATTTTGGGTGAGGTATCTGATCTCAACAGTAAAGCATGGAAAAAATAATGGAATCATATACTGGTAATCAGATTATGCCTAAATTAATTTCTATCCGGTTTGTATTTTATTTATTTATTTATTTATTTTTGAGTCAGAGTCTTGCCCT